GCCATTAAGTAATTCACATTTCCGTTCAATAACCAATCAGTAAGTTCTGATGTCTCGGGGCATCACTCTCATCACTTTTCATTCAGGGACAGTGTATAAAAAAATACTCACTGTTTTTGTGCTTGGTTCTTCCGGGTAGGGGAACCCATATTTGAAAATTCTTTCCTAAAAGACCCAATACCCGAACGGCATAGAAGGAAAATGTTCGAATAAATGGTTCGATTGTGCAGATATAACGAATGAGATATGGAAAGTTAGCATTTGCATAAATCATTATTCTCAAGTTTATTGTCCAGTCGATCACATTACGTTTGGATATCTGCTTAAGGAAGAAAGGCTTCCATCAGGGTTTTTAGAGTGAAGACAAAAGCGCTATTCGATTTCGCCTGTTCGCCGAGCTTGGCAATTTGTTTGCAAACGTTTCATCGCCAGCCGAGGTGACATCATCAGTGCTTGTGAAGTATTTTGTCAACAAAAGCGCTATGTTTGTCGGGCATTCCTGGACTGGTTGTAACAGTAACGATGGAAGAGGTGCTATTTTCGTGTATTCGTTATATTTTCATGGTAACAGGACAATGATACTGATAATGATGACAATGATAAGGTCCAACGGAGTACAACACGTTATACTTAGGGATCATATGCAGTTTATCAATCTTAATTTCAGACTATTGTTTTGGTCTGTTGTTGTTCTTCATCGCAGAAACAAAAAACATCAATACCTGTACACGCTAGCAGTGAAAATCGCTACGTCTTTTTATAAGATGCCTGGTTCGAATTATAAATCATCTCTACTATTGCTTAATAGAACCACCACCGTCTTCTTCGATGGTTTCTGCTTATCTTCTGGTTCCCCATTAATATTGAGTGTAATACGGGGACGTAAATCAGATAGGATCTAAGCAGTACGTATAAAAACGACAAGGGAAAAAAGTCAAGTGAATGCAAAATCTTTTCAACTCAATTCGAACGCAGCCGGAGAGCCATGGAATTGTATCAAACCTATATGCGATTAGGCTACTCTGGTCGATGAACAAAATTGCAAGACGTTTGAAAAACAGTTATACCAACATTTTCTCTCATCAAAACATTGCATATAATGTATTTTATAACTCGTCGAAGAAAGTCGACGTTTACCTTTTCCTAAACATGTTCAGTGTTTGGTATAAATTCTAGTACTAATTTGAAATAACCGTGCCTATCAACTGACTACTTGCAATTAGTCAGTTACGATGACGTCCATCTCCTTTCTGTACACTTAGACTTAACGCATCGACATTATTTCTCGCTTATATGCGCATTTGTCACCTGTATCGTGGAAAGGTTAAAATAAATTAATTTAAGCAGAATCTTTGGCTTGCTTTAATTGTCTAAACAGTCTCACAGAGCGCATTTTAAGCAGAATCATCGAGGAAATCACCAAATTGATTTCTCAGACAGTTGCTTTGAGTTATTCTAAAAAAACACTAGACCGGCCATAATTTTCAAATATCCTGGAACGGCCAATATTAATTTAGACTTCTTTTCGGATTGATGAATTGCGTTCCTCGAAAACAATATCTCACGACATCGGAGGTTTTACATATTTTTCCATTTTTCGCCTATCAAACCAGACAACACTTGACCCCTTTGGTACTTTACCAAATTGGTTGTAAAGAACCCTACAACCACCAATCGCGTAAAACGTTTAAACAATCGTCTACACTAGTAGTGATCCGCTTCTTCTGTAAAAGCATGGTGCTTGAAAGTTATATTTTGGTAACTAGTCACCGAAGCACACATTTCGATCCAAAATAAACCAAAATCCAAATGTTATTTTACTTGGAAAATATTGGGGTCTACTTCCGTTTGACGAAGAATGGACCGCAACGTGAAATAATAATAATATTAATAATAATAGTAATAATAATAATAAATAGCACAAGGTATTCCAACGTGTAGTCAACATCTGGCCCATTAAGTGGCCATAATCCACAAGTTACATGGTTAGCAAGGGCACGTCAAGCAGCGTTTTAAACACTGATAGCACAAACGGCTAGATATCTCAAACATACATGGACCCCATGAGTTATCAAGTTACCCGAATAAACCTTGATGTTTAAAAATGGCTTAATACGATTGAATGCGACACATTTTACCCTTGAGAATCGCCAACGCTGGTTCTGGCTTGTAAGTCATGCTCAATTTGGGCAAATGTATTCCATCTAAACTCATCAATATGGACCAGGACAACGACCACGATAGGAGAAAATAAAATACATTGAAATCATGTGCTAGGCAAAAACAGTTCAAATAAACTTGTTCATTTTTCTGGCATTTTTGAATTTATTTTTTCAACAATTTGATTTTATTTCTCTCTGTATTTTGTTCGTCCAGACTTATTTTCTAGTCAATGATTGGGTCATTCTGTAAGTCTTTTATAATCGCGTCACTGTTCAAGGTAGCAGTAACCAGGGACTAAAAGAACGAATGAACAAGCGAGTTAATTTTGCATAGGTCATTTTAACGTGTTATACAGCTCTGTGATTGTGATTTGATCCTAGGTGTGTGTGTATTGTGACAATCGAGGTAATTACTCCCAAGTGTTCGGACATGCCTCGCCACTTGTATATTGTCCTGGCTAGTAAAATCAAGTAAGTCTATTTTCGTTCAATTTCAGTTCTCAGTCGATTTTGTTGTGAATCCAGTTGACTACTTTGTACCAGATAATGTAAGGGGAAGGTATGTGAGGGAACATTCAAGTAAGAACCAATTTGTTGATCCTGCTTTGAAAACGGTAAGGTTATAAGAGCTTGGAAAATGGAGATGGGAACAGTGTTCTACGATTTTGCGGTCCTCGGGAAAAAAGAAGATTGAAAGATAGAAGTCCGACATCTGGGGACAGAAACCTGATAAGGTTGACTGGTCGCGTGAGAACGAGATAGACGAAAGAAGGTCAACCGAAGGTGAAAAGAGTTCGCAAGAGCAGAAACCAAAATAGTAACGATAGAAAAGAGATAACGAAGCAACTACCCGGCGATGGGAAAGCGACTGCAAGGTGAAAGTTAAAGACGGTTTGTCGATCATCCAGATAGATTTACGTTGAACACGGTTGAGAAGAGAAAGAACGGAATACGAAGCTCCACCCCATACGTGACTGCAGTATTCAAACATCGGGCGGATTTGAGAAGGTGCATGGGTGTAAAGAAACTCTTTGCGCAGAATAGAAAACCAACTTTGCGCGCAGCGCGAGAGGCAAATGTATAAATCAAACGGGACCAACAGAGAGAATTTATGAATGAACCCAGGAGGAATAGAGAATTTGTGGAACGAAGGGTCATAGAATCGAAAATTAATTGAGGAGAATAAGGGACACGTTTAGGAGAGACTGAGAGGAGAGGATTTTCGGAAGTATTGAAACACCCATGGTTGATAGAATCCCATGCAGAGATTAATCCGAGATTGGAGGCAAGAGAGGCATTTATGACATGACGATCCTGGTCGATATTAGTAGTGGCTTGACGGAGTGTGGGGTAAGAGACAGAACAATGGAGAGTGGCATCATCGGCAAAGCAGTGGATGGGATTAGATATCTGGGATAAAATATCGTTGACAAATAAAAGAAAGAGGGTGGGCAAGAGTATAGAACCTGGGGGAACACTGGCGTTCACTGGAAATGGCTAAGATGGAGATGAATCGCTTGCCGGGGAAACATCGGAGCCACGATACAAGAGACGGGTGGAATTCGAAGGTGGGTACTTTCGACAGCAGACCTTCCCGTCAAACGTGGTCACAGGCCTTTGATATGTCAAGCGAGACCATGTGACTCTCCCCGTGGTTATTGAGTACAGTCGACCAGGAATGTGACTTGAGCGCCAGTAAGTCACCCATAGATCTACGAGGGTGAAATTCATACTGACGGTCATTTAAAAAACTTCGTGTTCGAGAAACGTACGCAGTTGGTCGGAGATAATGGTTTCAAACACATTCCAGATTACAGATGTAAGATTAATGGGACGGTAGTTGTTGGGGTTGGAGGAGTCGCCGCACTTTGGGATTGGAGTAGGGAAAGATTTAAGTTCGAGCGAATAACAGAAAAGGTGGTATAGAACAGAAGCTAACTCCGAGGCACACATTTTTGGGACCACAGGTGGAATACCGTCCGGACCGGGTGGTTTACAAACATCCCAACCGCGAAAAGTTTGACGGACCTTTCTGGTTGTTATGATAGGTAGAAAGGAGTGATTGGATTTGTAGGAAGAGGGTTGAACAATGGAGGTGGCAGATAAGATGGAATTGGAGGCAAACCGGTAAGCAAAGAACTTTGCTTTTTCGTGGAGATCACAAACAAGAGTACCGGAGGAATTGCAAATGGGAGAAAAGTTGGAAGGGCAAGAATTACGTGAAAACGCTTTAGCGAGGAACCAGAATGTTCGGTTACCGGTGGTGAAAGAAGCCAAGCGCGCAGCTTTGTGACAAACGAAGCGATCTTTAGCTCTCTGAATAGTGATCGAGCATTTGTTCCTGGCTTGCACGAAGCGGTTGCGGGATGCTGGATTGGGTGAATGGCGCCAACGACGGAATGCTGAGTTTTTAAAAAGTACAGCACGGTTGCAAGCATGAATAAACCACTCGGGATCGTGATTTGCCGGGTTTGGAGAAGTGTGGAATATAAAGATGCATGCCTTGAAGAACAATCTCCGCGAAGTTTGAAACAGACTTGGAAACGTCCGGTTTAAAACAATAATCCTTTCAGGGATAAAAAGCCAGAAAGTCATGAAAACCGTCCCAGTTGGCTGGATCGTAACGCCAAAAGGTGCGTTTGGAGTTTGGTGGTGAAATGGACTGAGAGAAATGAGTGAGAAAAGAAATGAGACAAAGGTCCGATGAGCCTAATGGGGAAAGGGAAGTGATGTTGGAGAATGAAGAGGGAATGGATGTGAGAATGAAGTCAGTGGTGTGAACGTGGTCACCAATACGATCAGGGATGCGTGTGGAGAGGTCAACTACACCTTTTCCCATCAATCTTTAGCCAAAACCCGCAATCCTTTAGCCTCGACCCGTAATCCTTTAGCCAAAACCCACAATCCTTTAGCCTTGACCTACATTCCTTTAGCCAAAACCCGCAATGCTTTAGCCACGACCCGCAGTCCTTTAGCCTCGACGCACAACCGTTGGTCACACCGCTGTAGACGAGTCAGAACAAAAACTATCGGAATATTCTGAGGTCAACGAATGTTGAAAAAATTTATATTTATATTTATTTTTAATTTTTATTTT